AATTAAGCAAAACCTTTACTCAAATCCTCTTCAAATTAACCTCCGCCACTGTTGCTGTTGCTAACAGCAACCCCACCTGCGGCATTATGGGAAAAAATGGCAAAGGAAAATCATGCTTTACAGACATAATGAAATCATAAAAAATACAGATACATTTACTTACTAAAATTTCAAATGCATTGGTGTCATGCTACTTTTTTTTTTACTTGAGCATGTGCAAGTCAATACCCCAAAGCATTATGGGAATTTTTTGGGGGGGGTTTTAGCATTTGGTCTACAAGTTCATTTGGACGTACTTGCCTGTCAAAATTGTTGACTTCACATTAATCGTTCCACGCTTCCGTATGTTTGTGTTCTCACATGTGCTGTCAACTGCGGGACCTTAAATGCGAATCTAAATCATTTTTAATTCCAAAAATTGAACATCGGATATTTAAAATTAACTTGTAGAAAAATCTCATGGGTGATCAGTGGAAACAGGATGCACAGGAGATCAACTTTTTTTTTTTTTTTTTGTAATTAAATTGACAAATCCATTTTGGAATAAGGTTTTAACAATACATAATCTTGAAAAAGTGAAGCACTGAATACTTTCTGGATGTATTGTCTCTTTCGAACACTGGATGTGGCTTTATGGAATACAATAAATATTTTTGGATGTGGCAATTTATCAAATGTGTAAAAAGTAATGAAAATAGAAATTTCTCTAATGAACATCTTCAATAATATCCTCTCATTGTGTCACGGCTACCTAAAAGATTCCAAATCAACAAAAAAACACTACCTCACCTAATTTTGTTTGAGAGTAGAGAATCTTCAGTTTTTCACCTATTTACAGTGTACTTTTTTTGTTCAAAATCCTTCGAAATTCTCATCAAAGAAAGCTCAACCTGTAGCATTTCACTAAAGTAGCATCCTTTGAAGGAGAATTACCATTCTAGCACTTAAGACTGTACGTGCGCTTAGTTCACGAACCCAAATCCCCTCTTAGTGCAGGCTCAGAGTCTCTCATTTAGTCATCTAATTTTGGAATGCCTCCAAGCACCATCTTAATGGGGGTGTGGGACTTAATTGTAAACATTTTTGTCTCGCAGTGTTTCACGTCCGTCTGATAATCCCATTCGTGAATGTCTCTTGAAAAATCTTCATCGGTTCGAAATTCCCTTGAGTCGTCTCGCTGACTTCAAGGCCTCAAGCTACCCAATTGGTGCCACATGCTCCAACATTCCCGTAAATATTTTCTCTGCAGGATTAGCATCATTGCACTTAACTATTTTAGGAAAACAAACTTCCTCACTTCAGTCATTTGGGAGGGGGGCGGGGGAGGGATTCCTCGTTTTCTCCCGAGTCCGTTTGTTGTGGTCAACCCGCAGGTCATGCCTTTCCAACCACCGCCCGCTTCACTTCCTAAAACCCTCACAGGAAGTTGCAGAAAATAGTGGGTAAAACTATTCAGGCCTTGGGAGAGGGTTGAATGAACCCGCATGTACTGTAAATGCATCCAAAGAAAGTTGTGTCCATCCTTTCTGCTGCATATTTCCCCGAGGTCAGCTCGCATGTGTGTCTCAACTCCCGCTCAAAGCACTCCAGTAATTGGATTGTTGACATTTCCTCTCATAAGCTCAATTACACTGCGGTCTGTGGCTGCATGTGAGGGAGGAAAACAATGAGCCGGGGACCCTGTAGTCTTTCTATCGTGGGTTTGGACACAAAATACGGTAGTCTAGCTGCATTTGTAAGGTATTGGAAGCTTGTGATTGTCTTATTTGAACCGGTGGAGCAGTCACATGACAGAGAGGCAAACTTCCATTGTTTCCCCGTGAAGTAATCGACTGCTTACCAAATCTGTAGACTTTTAGACTTGTCCAAACTTTAAATTTTTCCACACTTTAAACCAGCAACTAAGCCCACTTGTATTTTTGAAATATATTTCCTCTTTAATTGCAGTGAACTCTACTGTTGATTTGTGAAGTTGCTCTTTATATTAAAAGTGGTAAAATGAAAGTGGTAATTATTGTGAAGAATGAGTTTTTGTTTTTATTTGGTAAGGAAGCAACTGGTCCAGCATAATAATGATCTTATATTGACATTGCATTTCTTGTATTATTTATTCATAGCGACAAATGGTTCTCAAGTTTTTTTTTTAAAATAATGTAATGTAACAGCGGAGGAAAAAATGCATTCTATGTTTTTAACAGATTTTGAAAGAGTCTTTTTTACTTGATAAGACATTACATTGTAGATAATAAAGAACTGTTTTTTGACACCTGCTTTCTATGGTGCTTCATTGAATCAACAAACAAGTGAGCTTGAAGTGGCTTGACTCTGCAAAACATACATAGACAAGTTTTAGGAAATCTTACCTTGAAGTACCTCTGTACTGCAACAGACTGACTACAACATGCAGTATCATCTCGTGTAATTCAAAAACAGTTGGACCTTGGACATAACCTTGTGGCACACCACAACTTAAAATGCAATACTATATCCTTGTTCTGCGACCCTAGTGAGGATCAAGCGGTTCGGAAAATGAATGAATGAATGAATGTATCCTTGTTCATTGACATTTTCTGCATGAAGATAAACTTCTAAAACATTTCACATGTTTGGCAAACAGATGTAGGACATAACCTTGGGGTTCACCACAATACATGAAGCACTGTTTTTGGGCATCAACTGTATTTAGATATGAACTCTGAAAAACACTTGTCTTCTCATGTAAGAAAGGCACAGTAGAGCTTTGGACATCAGAATTCATTTAATATAGTGTATCACTTCCTGTTTATTTCTTGTTAATTTGTTATATTTCCAGACTAGATTTAGCCAAAACAGCTTCCGTGTCTAGAAACCCCAGCGCACATCACAATACATGAAATGGCTTGTTCATTGGCATCTCCTGCATTAACGACTGAAACAAACTAACATACTTAAAACAAAGCAAGGCTTAAGACATAACCTTGGTGAACACCACAAAAAAAGTGCATTTGCTAAAATATCGTTTTGTTTATCAACATATCCTGCATTAAGATGAGATAAACTGCTAGGATGATTCACGTGAAGGCATAAGCCAAACAGAGTAGGGCTTGGGACTTAACCTTGGGGCACACCACAATTCATAAAATGCAGTGGAACCTCGGTTTACAAGCTTAAAGGTTGCCATTGCTGTTTTAAAACTGCGTGCAAGGTTTGAATGTTGTCTCACCAAACTAATCCCTCCCTCACTTGAGTCTCTGACCTAAGTCAAACCCCTCACTTACAAGCACAAGGAGTGCACTGTAAACAAGCTGACGTTAGCTGTCGTTGCTACGTTGGGAAGATGGCTTGGTCAAAATGGAGTGTTATTACAGTCATGGCCAAGAACACTGCCATCAGATAATGCACCACTTTTCCCAGAAAATTGTACCAATTACAAATTATTCTGTATTCACATTTTTTTTTTTTGTCAGAATTGGAATAACACAAATAAGTTGCAAAAAAAAATCTGATAATTCCACATAGAACTCCAAAAATGGACTGGACAAAATTACTGGCACCCTGAAGCTCATATTTCGTAGCATATTCTTTGGGGGGGAAAAAAATGAAATCAATGGCTTCCTGTAACCATCAACAAGTATCTGACACCTCTCTGCTGGAATTTTTGGCCCACTCTTTTTTCGCCAACGGCTCCAAGTCTCTCAGGTTTGAAGGATGCCTCTTCCCAACTGCTGTTTTGAAATCTCTCCACCAGTGTCCTACGGAATTGTGATCTGGCTTCATAGCTTGCCACTTCAGAACTCACCAGTGCTTTGTCTTAAGCCATTTGGGGTACTTTTTAACATGTACTTTGGGTCACTTTCCTGCTGTAAGACCCATGACCTCTGACTGAGAAACGTCTTTCTCCACGGGGCCCTCCCGACATTGCTCCTGCAAATTTCTGGTTAGTATTCAGATTTCATTATGCCATGCACACAGACAGGGCTTCTGGTATTAGCAAAGCATCCCCAAAACATCTCCATCATGTATGCATCTGTGTCAGCAGTGGGGTCCTCTTGGGTCTCCTACCATAGTTCCTCTTCTGTCCACATCCATGAATGAATGATATATATATATATATATATATATATATATAATGATGAGACTGGGCATTTTTTTTCCTCTCTGCTTTTTCATGTTGTTGCAATGCCAACAAAAGAATTAAACGTGAGGAATGAAGAAATTGTGATTTATACGTTTTATGGTGATCCTGAAATTTCACATGAAAGCCAGTTATCCCTAACTTTTTGGGCGTAGTATTGGCATCTCCTGTGCTAAGATACAGAGTGGGGTCCAGGACATAACCTTAGGGTATACCTCTACAAATTAAATACACTCAATGACTTCTTTTTCCATATCATGATAAAACTTGGGCAAACGGGGTTCATGAAACTTTGCTCCAACTCCTCCCCCGAAGCATGAAAACATGAATCTAGACAGCCCAGCTCGGCATGATCAATGAATCCTTAGTGTTGACGAGCCCACACCAACTCTCCTTTGATCACATTTCCCACGGTGACCTTTCATTTTCACACCACTGGGCTACTCCGTCCATCCACCAAAGTGCCAAATAAACACAGAGGCTGGAGTGGATGCTGAGAGATGACCACAAGCTCAATATGGTTTCAGCCCCCCTACCAAACACATACTTCCTCCATGTGGCTTTGGTGCAATTACACATAACGCAAGTTGCAAATTACACCTCCCCCTCACTCCTTATTTTCTTTCTCCGCTACACCCCTTGATGAGGAATGTTCTCCCACTGTGATGGTGGCCAAGATGTGCAGTGGGCTCCTGTTTCCTGCCCCACCCCCCACCCCACACCACCACCACCAACAGCCCTCCAGCGCTGATCCCAGATAGATGCTTCTTCCACGGCCTGGGAACCAAGCGGACCAGCTGACAAACATTCAGAGACCAAACTCTTTTGGAGGCTTGAGCCATCTCACTAAGTAACAGATGATACAAAACATTTCAGTGGCATCCAAGGGTACAAAATAATCAGTTTAATTATTTCATCTGTATGCAACATTGAGTGCAAATGTTCACCCTTCCATGAAACGCAAGGGCGGAAAACAAACCTCATACTTCTATAGTCCAACACTTATCTTTTTATTTTGAACTTGGGCAGCAAATTAGATTGAGGATTCTAAAGTGGAGGACCACAGCATAAAAGTTTGGATGGGTTGCTGGAGAGATGTTAAGACTGCCGTGGTGTCGTTGAGCAAAGCTGAGGTAACACTTGGTCAATAATGCATGATATTTAAATGTCACACAAAACGTGGGAATTGAATGAACACAACAAAGGCATCTTTTTCTTCTCATGTCTAAAAACGGGTACTGCATGTGGTTACTTGTACTGAATTTCTTTAATGCCTTATTTTAGTCCATGTAACATCAAAAATGCATGTCCCGCTCACCGATGACAACCACAATGGCGCGGTTTGCATTCGTAGCAATTAAAAGGCATTACATACAGTAGATCTACAGTAGCTGCCTAATACCAGAACAGAGCAATGAAATATGTGGATTATATGTTGTGTTTAGTCTGAAAGTTCCCTTCTGGATACGGGCTAATTTTATCCCCTTTTAGCTTCATGTACCAGCCATGAATCAATGAAGAGGTCAAGTAGTGTTTGAATATCAGTTACTTCGGGCTGGTGGGCTGCTGAACTAATGCTGTAAGTAGTACCAATGTGTATTGGGAAACTATTAAAAAGAACACATGGTGGTATTTTTAGTTAAATGATGGATGGTGATAATGCACGTCACAGGGTTCCATGGAAAAGTGAATCCATTTACTTTTGTCTTTTCCTTCTTTCCTCCATCCATTTTCTTGTAGCAATTGTTCTCACTAATGTCATGGTCTAAGCTGGAGCAAATCCCTGTCAGCGGCAGGGCACATATTGACAAACAAACATTCATACTCCCATTCATACCTATGGACAATTTAGAGTCTTTGATGAACCAAACGTGCATGATTTTGGAATGTGGGAAGAAGCTGGAGTACCTGGAGAAAGCCTACGTGACCATCGGGACACCATACAAAGTCCACACAGGAAGGCCGGAGCTGAGATTCGAACCCACTACCTCTCGACCGGGAGACAAACTTGCTAATCGCTACTCGTGTTGCCTCTTGGACCTTCTTCTGGTGTAATAATACTCAAGGGTTATTTAGAAGCGATTCACGTTAAGATGCAATGTCTCTTCCCTTGCAAGTTGGGCCGACAGTCTCAGGTTCGGGTTCACCGACACTTAGAGCGGGTGGCCTCCAAGACCTTCTGGTGCTTCCGTTTGTTGAACCTTTTCACATAGTTGCTGCTCCTGAGTATCCCGTCGCCTGGTTTTAGGCGGACCCCGAGCAGGTTCAGGAGGTCGTTTGGAAGATGCCGCCTCCGGTGGTGGATTTGGCCCATTACGATGTATCGGGTTCCTTGGGAACAAGAATGAATCGACTCAAGGACAAGTTTTTGCACTAACTTTACAAATAACGTACTGTAACAATTTTTCAGCCGTTAACCTATGCTTCACCCTTTCACCAATACTGTCCTCAATACCGATAGCATAAATAAAAGTTATAAAATGTATTTTATTGAGTGAAATAAGTATTTGAACCTTAAGCGAAACATAAATCAGTACAGGTACTTGGTTTACAAACCCTTAGCGATGAGACCTTTTGTAATTGTTGGTCGCCAGAGTTGCACACAGCTCAGAAGGAAGTTTGGCCCACTCGTTTTTACACAAACTCTCTAAATCCTTAAAGTGTCTTGTTGCTGTTTGGAAACGCAAAGTTTCTGCTCCCTCCACATGTTTTTGATGAGGTTAAGGTCTGGAGACTGACAAGGCTACTCCATGATCTTACAAGTATTACGCTTCTTCTCAAGCCACTCCTTTGTAGCTCTGGCAGTATGTTTTGGGTCTTGCCAAAACCCAGCTCTGGTGTTTGAGTTGAGCAAAGGAGGTTTTCCCTGCTCTGCACCCTTGCAAAAAAAAAAAAAAAAACTGGCCGAAAACATACTGACGAATTCATACCTCCACACTTTACTGTGGATGATCTTTGGGTTTTTTTCTTTACTCTCCAAATATGACAGGCACAGTTCATGGCAAATAGCATCACTTCGGGTCCGTTTGACCGCAGCACTTTCAGCAGGGTGATCTTGCGGGCAGTGCAACATTTCAGTACATTCCTGAGGTCCATATTGCCTTCAGATGATCAACAGGTTCCTGCTGTGTACTTTGAGGCTACTCATCTTTCACATGACTATCCTCACTCCACCACTCGAGCTCTTGCATGAAACTCCAGAACAAATTGATGATTCATTTGTATGTCTTACACTTGCAAATAATGGCACCAATAGCCGTCAGCTTCTCACCAAGCCTTTTGTAGATGGTTTGACAACTGATTACATCATTTTGCATCTTTACAATCTTGACCTTGACGTCTTTTGACAACATTTTAGTCTTGCTAAAAGTGGTGGACATCGGAAGGTAAGAAATTGGATCCTAGATGAGTTGGGCTTTATACATGACAAGAGAGCAGGAGTGTTGAGAAGTGGCTGATCGACCATAGCTTTGTGCCACATGGGCACCAGCCAATCTGTGGGAGCCAGAATTGTGGCAAAATTGTAAAGGAGACTTTTAGTGACCCTTTTCGACTGTTTTTTTTTTATGCATTTTTGACTGTATTCTATGTTCAGTAAACAACCAATAAAACTTGAAACCGTTCATTTGCGAGTAAAAGAAACTTATAAACTTATATCCCCTACCTGATAGTATCTATTTAGTCAAATACGTTGTTGCTCATTCTGCTCAGTGTAAATTGCCAGTAGTAGTTCTTTGATATGAGTTTTCTTGTGCACTGCTACTGTTAACTTTGCTGGTATAGAACTGGAATTTCACCATTCTTGGACTAATAAGCACTTATTCTATTGCAAGCAGCAAGCACTTACCAAGTTTGATATCAGGACACGGTTTGCTGCACTTGTAAGTGTCCAGGACCAGAAGCCGCACTTTGAAGAAGAAGCTGTCAGGGGTGGCGTAGAGGCGACTCATCTTGTAGAACCCGTCGCTGCTCACCATCAGAGTAATGAGACGTATCCCTCTACGCAGCACGTCGATGTCGTGGACGACTCCGTTGACAGCTGATTTGGGCGGGGATGAACGTCAAGGTATCATAGTCAAGCTGTTAAGACTTTGGCTATATGCTCCTTATTTGAAATTTTTGTCTAAAAATCCCCTGGCTTCTTTTTTGTTTAAACATTTGTAATATATGTATGTATTAATAACATGTTCGTTTTGTTTTCTGTTTACTGAGAATTGTATTCTGACTTGTTCTATAAAGATTATTAAAAAAAAAAAGGTATCATAGTCGTCGATATTCAGTTTGTGACATGTTGGTTTAGTGGTGTACTGGAAGATTTTTCTAAAGTAAAAATGTGCCTCGTCTCAATAAAGGTTAGCCGAATATCTTAAGAGCAAGGTAGTTTGTAATGAATGACGAGTACTCAAAGTCAACAATCAATGCGACGTCAGTCTTTTAAATAACATGGCAAAGCTTAGGATCACGCTTATTTCAGATGATGTTGCATAGAATCAAGATAAAAGGTCATAGATGGTCCTCTCTGAGACTTGGGGGAAACTAAAGACCTGAATCTCAAGACAAAGTATACAAAGGATCAAAGGTAAACATTCTTCACTCTCACTTATGTAATTGTGTTTGTGTTCATCATTCTGTCCTTTCATTCTGTCTGCTAACATTAGCTACATAAAGAAGAACCAAAGCTAACACCTTAAATCTTAGATTAGCACCAACGGCAAGCAAAACAAGGTAACGTCTTGGTGCTTATGAAACAGACAGTTTTGATATCTCTGTAATATGTCTTGATCCTGTAACTGAAATCGGGGCCATTTGTACATGGTGTTTAACTGACTGAACACGGTCTTCTGATGATACCAATCTGCAAATAAAGCGAATCACCTGTCTGAAAATGTCTCGTTTGTTGATTGAGCAGAGAAAGCTACGCTTTTCGTACCGTTGCTCATCGTGTGTACTTACCAAACTCGCTGTAGCAGTAATAATCCTTCTCATCCTTCTCCTTCCTGCACTCATTCATGCAGAAGGCATCATGGGTGAGGTCGGACTCTGCGGGGAGCGAATGACACGTTTGAATGCTTGCACTTGCCTAACTTATGTCAATAGAACAGCTCCTTCTCCACTTAATTTGGAAAAAGAGCATTGGACCTAAAGCATGCAAAAATAGATGGGAATTAATGTGATATTCTGGCAGGAGAAGCTGGAGTAGCTCATTCCAAAATGTTGAATCCGACTGATGTGCTTTCAGTTTTCATCCTTTCATCCATTTTCTAGAGCCTCAGGCCTCATTGGGTCAAGCTTAGCCAAGGTGACTTTGTGTTAAATGTGGCGTAAACCCTGGACTGCCCGCCAGCCACACAACCATTCACACCTATGGAAAATGTTGAATCTCCAATTGACCTAATGTATGTTTTGGGAATGTGGGAGGAAGCCGAGAACAAGCTAACTCCGAAGGGGAAGCCCGAAACTGATTTCGAACCCATAGTTGTCACAAAACAAAACCAAAAAATTGACCCTGGTGGTAATCTTACACCCTTGTAGAAATTTGAATTATGAAAACTGTAATCCCCAAAGGCAATAGGGAATGATTTCATTCCTAGATCCGTTATGTGGTAACGTTCCAAGAACAGGATAGAACACTGACCTCGTCTGAGGATGTCAAATTGATACAGGAGGCTGGAGGAGCGACGGTTGAAGGTGACAGGTGGCCGGCTGTTGTTTCGAGGCGGCGCTGCACCAATTCCGGTTTGGTAGAGACCGGCTTTCCCCGGGCGGTTCTCCTCTGGGTCCAGGCGTCTATTGGGGGGGTCTTTGCGAGGAGAAGGTGCTGGAGCAGGCTGTGCATGAGCAGGGCTCCTGGGTCTGGAGTTGGGATAGCCCTCCGGCTGGGTGGGTTGAGGGGGACTGATGCCGCTCTGAGCGGTGCGGTTGGCGGCCGCAGCCGTCGACGCCGTCAGAGAAGGTTTGGGAAGGAGACCGGCTGTTTCCCCTCTGGTTTTATCCGTGTTCAGTTCCAGTAAGTGCTCACTCTTAGGGCCTCGCTTGCTCTTGTTGTGGACACCATGGTGGCGAGGGACGGGTGCGAGGTCATTGTGCTTTGGCCAGACAGCAGAAGGTAAAGGATGGAGGGAAAATTTGGACTCGCCGGTCCTGCTGCTCTTTTCTAGAAGTTCATTGATGGGCAGTGAAGGTTCTTTCACCATCAGCCTGGTTTGATTGCTCTGTGTAGGATCCACAAAACTGATTGGACCTTTCTCAACAAGAGGATAAAACTCTGAAAGTAGAACATATTCAGTTTGATTCACAGCAATTATTTACACAGATGTAGGTAAGATAGATAAATAGATAGTTAGACAGATAATGAACATAATTTAGTCTCTGTCCACTGTAAACCATTTAGAATTCTCCAATTTAAAAGAGTAATAATTTAAAATAAACACAATATACGCAATGTGAACCCCGAACTTTCTCAGCTCAAGACCCCGTTTAGCAATCTGGTTCCCCAGTTGGACTCGTTGCTTGTCTTTCAAGGTTTCCAAACTACTGATAACTAGAAGAGACATTGAATTATTGCAACAATCATAATTCTAAGCCCCTCTCCAAGAAATCAATAAAATACGACAAATCCTTCCTATTTTTGAGAAACCATCATAGCAACTGATTGGACTGAAAAAAAATACTACTATAGCATAAGCTTTAAAAAGTGAGTTTTTTTTTTTTCCAAAAACAAAACAACTTCACACTTACCATTAACATGTTCCTGTGCCTTGTGAAGACGGAACACTAAGAAAAAAACAAACACATTAATCCTCATCATGGTTGGTGAATGTTGTGTTGGTTGAGACACACAGACCAAGGTGTATCGCAGAGCTGAGCCTCCACAAGCTTTTATACACCACTGGGAAGGGCCAACAGCATAAGGCGGGACGTCCTACTCCCCGGCAAACACGCACACACACGCAGATAAACAGTACAACTGATGACACTCTTTCCATTCATAAGCGAATTATTTTACAAAATACCTGTAAGAGACCCAATGGTCACTGTGTCTGCTATGACTGATGACGTTATCATGCCACGGGTGACGTGTTGGTAGTGGGTTCATTTAAAAAAAAAAACGTGTTCCTCAAAATGACTGCGTGATTTAGACACACACAAACACACACACATGCACGCACGCACACACACACATGCGCGCACACTGTGGAAAGAACGACTATTGATTATTTATACAATGCAGATTTTTTTTTATGTTTTCCCACTTACAAAAGCAGGTGGAGGTCTGTAATTTGTTTCAAAAGTACTCTTGAGAAACAGAATCTAAAACAAAAATCCCAGACAGTCACAGTCGATGATTTTTAAATAATTAATTTGCATTTTATCGCATGACATAAGTATTTGATCGCCTATTAACCAGTATGAATTTAGGCTGCCAAAGGTCCCACGGGTATTTGTTTAGTTTTCGTGTTGTTGCTTTAAAAAAAAGAAACAATTTGATGTAACATGCGTTTGTGTTATGGATTTCCGCTTTTAAACGGTTGTCATTGTTTCGAGAAAAAAAACACCTTCTTGGCATCTCACAAATCCATGTCGAACCGTTCTGAATTTGCGTCAAGGATGCGTCCCATAAAAACGACCCAGATGGGACTCGAACCCACAATCCCCAGCTCCGGAGGCTGATGCCTTATCCATTAGGCCACTGGGTCGTCATATTACGCTGAGGTAAAATTTTTACTTTATAAATGTAAAAATACTGCAAAAGTACCAATTCTGATGTCATATTTTAGTAATATTCCAAACAATTAACTGTACGCTGATTTTTTTTGGGGGGGGAGGTGACGTCGACTGCCGCACAGATTAATTATTAGTGAAATACAGGAACTCTTACTCAATTTATCCACTAGATGGTGCCATACGCACTTGGTAAATTTTCGATGCTCGAGTCACTCAATTTATGAATGAAACGTTTCATACAGCAATTCGCGGTGAGGATTTTTCACCTTCACAAATATATAATAAATAACCACAATCAATAACATTAAGTTAAAAACATTGATATTTCTGGAAAATGCTTTGAGACATGGTTTGTAGGGACGATTTTCACGTCACCCACTTATAACGAACCAGAATTTATGTTTCTGTTGGTGTCGTAGAAAGGGTTCTGTCAGTCGTCATCTGTACCTGTGGGTAAAAAACAAAAAAAAAAAA